CAATGAAGCTCCATATGTCGATGCTGCTCAAAAGACTGCTCTTGGGGGGCTGCCAGACTTTGGATTTTTATCACTGGTATGGAACATGTTTGCTCAACCGTTGCCGATGAAATTCAGAATAACCCATGAATGCATTTAAGTTTAAAAGTGTACAAACTGTGTGTTGCTGCTATAAGCACACTCTGTTTGTACTTTTTGGGGAACTGCGAACCAGACTACTTCCTTGACACTGTTACCTGCTTGTTCTGCATTCATCTTCTCCGTTCTTTGGGTCTCTGAAGACATAGTGACTGTGAAATGAATTGCAAGAAAAACTGTAGCACTATGTCTATAACTATTTTCCATCCTTTGTATTAGAGCTTGTATACTCTACCCAGTTATAGCTTTTTTGTGTACCCTAATAGGTAATCACCATACGTAAGCTTTAGACCAAGTTTCCCTACTATACTGACCAATATATTGTTTTCCCAATAACTCTCACTGACAAATTCATGTTTGCAGTGGGCACTTATGACGCTTCTGGATCCAATTCGTAGTGTGGAGAACCTGATATATATAGGTTATGGTGGTGATCCTTCATCTGCTATACGTGTAACTCGAAGAAGGCGTTTAGATCGTAAGAAGCAGCACTCAGAAAGAACAGTATATCAGTGTTTTGTTTTTGGACCAAAAGAATCTGGGAAATCTGCCTTACTTGATTCTTACATTGGAAGGTATTTATAATTATACTCAAGAATTTTTTTCCAAGCTAGATTTTGTTTTTGTGCTTTACAGATGTTACTCATTTCTTATTTAATTTTTCCCATCCATTTGATAGGCCTTTCCCTGAAGAATATGTTTCTACAACTGGGGACAAATATGCTGTTAATGTCGTAGAGCAACCCTCAGTAAGTGCACTCTGTTGCTTTCAGAAAGAGACGTATAAAAGAATATATGCTGGCCGTGTGCAGAATTTCATATGTACATGATTTTTCACACGTGTTCATCCAAACATATTTTTCGGAATTTTAAGAAACTATGCCTCTGGAGCCAAAATGGCTCTTATATTAAATTCGAGGCTGTATGATACATTTTTTTGTTCTCCTTAGTGCTTGTTGATATTTATCCCAGATGTGATGATCTCTAAGTTTCGGGATGTCTCCAATTCGTAACATGTTACGATTTATTGTCTTCTGTTTGTGTGAATATTACTCCACGCCATCTTAACAGGGGCTTAGGAAGACTCTGGTGTTGCGGGAAATCCCTGAGGATGGAGTGAAAGAGTTGCTATCTAAGAAGGATGCATTGGCTGCATGTGATGTAGCAGTGTTTGTTCATGACAGGTGACATATTCTTCATTAGTTATTATTATTGTTGTTTCCTTGAAGAACTGCTAAATGGGGCCTGGTAGAACTCAAAATCCCAAAAGCTAGCCAAAAGGAGTGTGGCCAACCCACACGTATACACAATACCCGGTAACTTATCAATGTGGGACAAACATAAAGTTCCGACACCACACTCATAATATTCTTATGCATAGGTTCTTGGATATAAATTAATGATTAGAATATAACTTAGTGAGTATTAGTGTAATAATTTAAAATTTTATGAAATATAACGATTGTTTTTATTACTTTAGTTATAATATTCTTTATTTTTTTTTACTTTATTTCAGAACATAAATTTTTAGAGTATTTGTTTATATTTTAGAGTATTTTATTATTCTATAAGATAATTTGTTGTTTTATTAAATATTTTTAATTTGGTTTGATAAATAAATTTAAATTTATTTACAAATGTACATGAAATTATTATTTTTTCTTTATATATGAAATTTTCTACTTTCAAGAACAAAGAGCTTCGCTCTACTCTAAGGCTAGGGTGCCGTCAGGTAGCTCGAGCGGGAACTCTTATTAAATCAAAAACCGTTAAAGGTCATTAATGTGATATGTATAAACAATGAAATAAAAGTAAAAAAAAAATGTAAAAATAAAAAGAAGACACACTATGGTATTTAATATATGAAATAGATAAGAAAAATAAATGCAATATATGGTAATTTACAAAAAGGAAAGGTAAAATAGTTACAATAATTTCCAAGCCTAGTTGGTAAGAGTCTATGCGTGTGACAGCGTGACTTTTTGCCAAGTAAACATATGAAGCTTGCAAGTCTTTAGATCCATTGTATTCTTAAATTGTATATAAGGTGGATGTCAATTGAGGCTTAACTTCAGTATATGGGTATTCCATTGGCTTAAAATTATAATAATATGAAAATATGTTCGATAGTAATGAAATTGAGATCAATGAAGAAAAAAACATTGAACCAAAAAATCATATTAAAAAAGGAAACATGGCCACATATTGATGTGCAGTTGACTTCAAACTAGCTCTCCAAGATCCCTCGACCGTTTTGCTCCCGCTTGGAGATGTTCTCGGCATTAAACCTCCGGCGATCAAGTCAGTAAGGTGATATAAATGAAAAACTGTATGGAAAATATATTGAAAGCATAGAGTGTATAGAGTGATTAGCTTTTACCTTCTCCCAATTTCTCCTAAACATAGAAGATTATTAGCTTTTGCCTGATTGTCTCAACTACTTCTCTGCCCGAAAGGGCTACTCGTCGGTTATTAGGCTACACGTAGGTCTGCCCGTTGGTTATTTAGCCTCGTTTTTGTCCATCCGATTACCCGTTTCTTTTATTCATAACCCTACACGGGGACTCCCCTGGACTCGACCCCTTCTGTAGGCCGACCCTCTTCCTAGGTCATTTACCAAACTATCAAGTGCCTGCGCTATCCTATGTCGAGCTCATTAATGTCTGAGCTCCTCATCTGCCGAGCTATAGACATATCTGCGTTGTTCGAGCTCCCAATATGACGAGCTATATACATTCTCCAGTTATTCGTAGCTACTTAACTGCCGAGCTATAGACATACTCCAGTCGTCAGAGCTACTTACCCGAGCTACTTATCTGAGTCCTTACTACATCTAAACCAACCGGCCTAGCTAGTCTTCAGCCTACAATCCTAGCTGACCGTGACCGGTTCGACCGAGATATCTTTATAATTAATTTAACTCAGACAACTATGACTTAAACGTTTGAAAAAATTGGTTTATGAATGGAGTATGATAACAAGTGATCTCAATAGAATTATAAAAATTGACAAATAAAAGGTATGAGTTGTCTACATTATTTGAGTAGAACTTAAGAATGTCCCAAGATTTGGCAACTCGTGAAAATTTGAAGGTCTTATTCATACAATGTCTAGGGTCAATAACATGTATCAAGAATGAAGGAAATGATCGAGTGTCCATTACTCTAAAGGATAGCAAGATAATTCATCATGGAAGATGAGCTAATAAAAAAATAAATTAGTTCATATAGATCCAATTAAAGCCATGTTTTCTTTGAACTGGTTGGGCTATCAATGATTCACTTACAAAGATATGATCATATGTTTTACCTTCAAAATGAATCACGAGTATTTCTAAAGAATGAAACAACAACATTTTAAATGACCGAAGATGGACACCAATTCTAACAAATGAATTTAGAGAATTACTCCATGGATGAGGTGAAAAGGAAATAGTCTAATAACATTATTATTAAATCTAATCAAAACTTCAGAATGACGATTATGTGGAATATATGGGCTTACAAGGTTGTAATTGAAGGTCACATTTAAATTTTTAAGAAAGTGACCCAATAATATAATATGCCGACGAATGGCATGATAATAGTCTCAAGCAAAGATGACAATTGAAAGAATGATTATCTGTTATATAAAAATAAATGGCGCTCAAGATGGTCATCTCATTATACTCGCATGAGAAAGATTAAAAGTCCACAAGTCTACAAGCACTATAAGTTTTAGCAATGGTCCAATAACATTTATGAGTAATTATTATTCCTCTTCGCCTATCATCCTCATTGCACAGCAAATTATCTTAGTCCAATGGGGACACTTGTAATATTTCTGGCTCATAATAATAGTGAAAGGATGAAGATCAATTAAGCTTGAAAAAATAATCGAAAATTGAGGTAGTAATCAATAATAGAATAATTAACTAAAGAACTACAAGTTGGTCACATAATAAGATCGACTGAATTGACTCAGTACAATTTTGTTAAAGAATGAATGAGAAATCAATACAACAACAAACAACAACAACATACCCCAGGTTGGGGTATGGGGGTCAGTTGTACGTAGATCTTACCCTTGTAATTATACAAGGAAACTGTTTCCGTAGCGACCCAAGGTGCATTGCGCCATTTGATATATATTTTTTTTTCTAAAAACTTCACTAATAGAAGAAACACTAGAATTTAATTGAGCCATTTTGATCTAGTCCATTATTAGCACTATGCTAGGAGAATTATCAACAATGACTCTTCCGTTTGCAATGAATGAGCAATCAATGAAAGACAAAATACCCTTTACTTTAGATAGAAAACACTTTTACATCGGTTATTAACCCGTTATAACATCAACCAAAGAAGTCTGGACTTTTTATATCAGTTGAAAATCGACATAGCAACTTAACTTTTTACATCAGTTTTATGTAAACCGATGTAAACTTGGTGAAATATAGGATGTAAAAATGTGGAAAACCGATGTTTATAGAGCTTTTCGCATCAGCGTTTTGAAAACCGATGTAAAACGTAGAGTTTGTTACATCGGATTTTTGTTTAACCAGTGTAAATAAGTTACATGTATGTAACATGGGTTGGTTATATCCAATGTAATATCCATCTCTTTAATATCAGTTTTGGTTTCTTTATTAGCTGATGTAGAAAGTTCTTTCTACACCATGTCAATCTAAAATATTTTGTTTCATTTACACGTAAATCTAAAACCAATTTAATTTGAAGATATAATATCGAGATAAAATAATAATTAACATAGATATATGCCATACATTGTAATAGGTCACCTACAATACATGACAATATTCTTCAATAGCAACAAGTCCCAACAATCATTTTCAAATGCACAATATCAATAATAGTTCTCAATATATATTGGTATATATGGATACCATGTTAATGCGCCTTGGTAGGACTTATCCCCGATGCTAGGTCTATGGGAACATGTTCCCAACCCACACTTCTTATACATAACAACCGAATAACTAATCAATGTGAGACGACCATAAACTACAAATGAGAGTTTTGTCGATGATTGCTCTTTTTGTATGACAATAAGTATTTATCAAAAATAGTAAAGGCGTTGAGATTGAATAAGAAATGTGGTTGGTAATAAAATGTGGACATGTTTTCTTTCATCTCCTTGTTAGTTCTTTCGCCTTTGTTCTGTGAGCAATTGCTGAAACCTAACAAGCACAGGTCTCCATTGGTACACTTGACCCAGTTACTTTTGTTAGAAAGAGCAAACCAATTGATCCATTTTTATATTGCTTTTGTTGCCGATTCTCTTGAAACACTTGTTTACTTATGGTCATTGCTTAACCCCAATGAAGTTGACTAGAACTACATCATGCTGGAGAATAATTGATTTGAGTGAGTTATAAGTGGGTACAAGTACGACGAACTATATCAATCATTTGGGTCAACTATTTTCAGAAAACAAGTAGAGTGTTCCCTTTGTGTGTGTGTGTGTGTGTCTGTTTCTAGAGTCTGTGGACCTACGCACCATGGTCCTAATAATAGTTTGACCATATACTGGAACATGGTTTTCTAGTTATATTC